CGGGTGAACGGTGCAGGAGCATTGTCTGGTTTTTAGTGGCCCTGTTCAGGGCTAAAGGTAGGGCTCTGCTCATTTTATCAGGCCCAAGGGCTGGCTGAAATGAGCAGGGAGGAGTTCCACATACCTTCTCCTCGCTCCCCCGGTGGTTGAAGGATGCGTAAGGCATTTCCCAGACACAAAAAGAAAAGGTATCCTTTGCATCTAGTTAGTTGTCTAGTTATCAATAAATTAGTAGCTTTATAAATTCAAAATACAGTAAATATTGGGTCACTTGCAATACAGTCATTAATTGAAATTTAAAGTTAATCATATATAAATTTAATTCTATCCCACTTGACTTATTCTGATTATCAAATTAGGTACTTTCCCAGTGTATGGATATTGGCGCATGCATAAACACATCCACGCGTATAGATCCGCTCACATGTGCACACACACACACACAAACACAGTACACCACACACACACATACACACACGCACGTACACATGCACACACACCCACGCAATCTGACAGTAGGAGTACCACCTACTTTTGTTGGATCTCTTTTGCGTGTCTCGCTTTTCATCTGAAGAGAAGTAGTTGTGGCTGAAAACCAGCGCTGCCCGAGACCTTTCGTAACGAAGTTGTTTATGCTGAGCTACATCCGTTTGCTCTTCACGCTGTCATATCGCATTGTACTATGTATTGACTTTTTGGCGGGATCGAAAAGCGTCACTTTAGCAATTTTGTTTTTCTTGTTAAAAATTGTGTTGTGGCAGATGTTAGTATATAATAATGATGGATTATTAACCACTAAGTGTTCGGCAACATGCACAAGTGTTGGCAAGTGAAACAAAATAGCGGAAAGTGTCTTTCGACGTTCCCTCAAGAAGTCCACGGGGAGGCTCCAGTAAATCCCCACACATTTACTGAAACATAGGGAAAGGGGGATTGACTTGACTGCCACTTACTTTGACTTGATTTATTAGTTTGACCACGAGTGCTATAGAATTTGTAAACATTTTAACACTTGACATTGGCTAAATGCACAAGGCGTGCGAAGCCATTTAGGAAAAAAAAACTTTGTATTACTGTGAAAGCAATAAAAATAATTCTATTCTATTCTGTTGACTTTAATAGTTCACAGAGATATATACGTCCAGACACATACATATATCGGCCCACCTAGCATTTTCAGTTTTGACGGTCCCCAGCATTCTAAAAATAAATGTTACATTCAGCAAAAAGTTTTTACGCAGTTTCGAAGCTGATTTCTTCTTTTTCGTGCGTTTTAAACAATATTATTATTGCATAACTTAACATATATTTTTGCTACATACAGTTCTAACTTATAACAGTAAATTTGCCGATAGATCTGTCTGTATGTATAATAAAGTTTGAAGAAAGAAATACCCTAAACGTCGCCGTTTAAAAGACTAATTACAAGACGGTGAAGTCAGAATGCAATTATATAATTATCCTAGTGCTTCAATTATATAGGTTATTTTTACCTGTAATTTATTTAGCTAAATTTAGCAATGAAACGTCATATTAATATTTCTGACAATTAGGACAACTGGCCAATCAGAACAGGAGGTCTACTCTCTTTCTCTGAAACGAATTTTAAACGAAATTGAATTTCGTCAATTTGAGGTTGTACTTAATTTGGACGATAAACTATCAAATTAATTTTTAAAGCTACATTTTTTTCGGACAGCCTGTAAATGGAACAATTGTATGGAAATTTGAAACGAAAATGCGTCACGAGCGTCACACGACTACATATATATATATATATATATATCTGATCTGCTTCGCTATCCTGTAACAATTTATCACTGTGTCATTTTAAGGAACCTAAAGGGTCTGAACTAAACACAGGCTATATTTATAGCCTATCTAGGGTCAGTTGTACTTTTTCATTTTAAGTGTACTGCCTTATGTAAAAAAATAATAAAAATAAATTCCAGTACTTTGTCTCGTAAATTTAACAGCTGTAAAATTTTTGTAACTAATATGTTTTTTGCATGAATAAAAATCATGATTATTATTATATATATATACATATATAGCAGGTAGCATAATGGTCAGTGGTAGACACCCCTATAACACACGCCTGCAGTGCTTACTTTGGTGCTAGCCTAATTGATGGGAGTTTTTGAGATATTTATTTACTTATTATTTTTAAGAGTGATGCGTACGCTGCTCCATTCCCCAATGCCTTTTGCACCGCCTAATGTTAGGTTATTTAAGAAAAGATTTTTCATTTCAGATGTGTGGCCTGTGCACACTATTTTTTCTTTGAGTATTTTCGCGTGAACGAATATTATTATGATAAGAAACATAGTTAGAACGTGCGAAGTTTCGATCGAATTTTACTTTTTCGTTATATTAGAGTAGGCCTCCAGTTTTGATAGATAAATTTTGATTCAGAATCCGGGCGGGCAATAATTAAATCGTAGATTGACTCTGATTGAACTTTAATCCAGTGGATCTATTTGCGTGAATGCCGAAATGTTTAAAATTATCATATTACCAACATCATTCAATAATTGAAATTGAACTAAATAGAGTATAAATTTGTTTGTACAAAACACTGAAAACACAAGGGCGAGGATTCTATCGATTAATTTACAAGTGACGAAGAAAATAAATAAAAGAAATTATACCTACCTATTTAAAATTGAATATAAGACTACAGCACAAACATTCTTACAATACAAAAGTACTAAAAGCACTTGTGTAGTTAAATTTAAAAACAGTTAAGGCAGTATTCACATTGGCTCGAATGGGGATCCAACCTGAATAGATCTAATATATAAAATTCTCGTGTCGCGGTGTTTGTGGTTAAACTCCTCCGAAACGGCTTTCCCGATTCTCATGAAATTTTGTGTGCATATTGGGTAGGTCTGAGAATCGGACAACATCTATTTTTCATCCCCCTAAATGTTAAGGGTAATCCACCCCTAATTTTTTTTTTTTTCAATTTTTGTTATTTTTTTTTATTTTTTTATGATACATCATACAAAAATACATAAATCCCTAAATTTTCAACTTTTTACTACCAATCCCTATTTTTTATGGCAGTACGAAGTTCGCTGGGTCTGCTAGTAAATAGATAAAACTTTATTGTAGATAAAACTTTATCATAAGCATTCTGTAAGATGCAATCTCACTAACGATCTCATTTATTCAGATATCTGACAAATTTTAAATATCTAATACTGGCTGCTTCTACAGCCATTTAACATAGCGACTTTTTGCCGTGTAATGGCGTGATGCATATCAAACTAATTTCTAAAATGGCAACTATCGAAATCCGATGTCAGATTTTATTTTACAAAATCGCCCTACTTGTACTTTAGGCCCGTATTATATAAAGATTCTAAGTGATTGATCTAGTCTTGAGCATAGTTAGAAAGGGATGTCGCTATATATAGCACAAAGCGACATCCCTTTCTAACTGTACTCAAGTAAAGATCAACACTTAGTTGTCCTTCTGTAATACAGGCCTGAGTGTTGGTGAAACCATGGCAGCCGGTGTGCATGCCAATTGACCGCGAAGCTCAATAATTATCATTGGGCTATACTATAATTAGGTTAAGTTAGCTATGTATGTTTAGTAAAATATTCAAATTCAGCCGATTACGTCGACCGTCGTGACCTCCGTGGCCGATCTGTTGTACGCCGGGTTTCATGGTGTCGCTTACTCGAGAGATCCCGGGTTCGAATCCCGGTGGGGGCAGATGTTTCTGTGATGAATCCGAGCATTTGTACTCCACTCATAGATGTTTAATATGTAATAGGGGTGATGACGGGGTACAATAAACGAAATTCTATTTAGTCCGTCAATTAGATGATCAAAAAATAATGGACACGTATTTTTTCTTTGGGCAATCAACCAAAAGATGACAAAGTTATAGCGCGTCAAAGTTTGGGAGTAGGGGCTCGTGACGTCACTTTTGAGTGAATTTTCACTTATAAGTGTACTCAAACGTGACGTCATTTCTGATCAATATATCTCTGCAATGTTTATATTGTGTGAAAAAAGAAATAATACGTGTCCAATACTTTTTGACAATCTACCTGATAAACGAAGAAAAAAAAATGTCATCATCCCTATTCTATATAAATATACTTATAAATGTACAGTATTTTAACCGTTACCCTATCTACTATCAGTGCTTACTATGGGGCTAAGCCAATTGGTGTGAATTTTGGGAATATTTATTTATTTGAAGACAGGGAGGACTCTATTGCTGAGGCTGCTAGATATATTTCCTATGTACTGAATATAGAGAACGGGCACTTACCCACGTCAAGACTTAGAAAAATATTAAAAAAGATGGATTGGAGAAATAGATAAATACATACCTGTAGGAAACTTGCCTAGGTAGCGGAGTTGAAACATCTTTCAAAATTGATTTAAATTTAGTGCATAGTCCAGTCGTCTGTCCTTTTTGTCACTGTCTCGAATTTTCGCTCACAAAAATATACAGGACGGCAGGAAAAAACGTCAATTCGTTCACCTGAGCAAGTCTCCTATTTCCCCCTAAAGTTATATTAAAATACAAACCTTTTAAGTGAGGAAGAATGTAAGTATGTACCAAATTTCACTCTCGAGCTGGAGTGTCTGTCAGAGGAAATTACCCTGGCCTTACGGGTACTGACCCACGACAAGACTTAGAAAAATATTAAAAAAGATGGATTGGAGAAATAGATCGACGACCTCCATGGTCGAGTGGTTCCTACGCCGGGTTTCATGGTATCGCCGACTCTAGAGGTCCCGGGTTCGAATCCCGGTGGGGGCAGATGTTTGTGTGATGAATACGAGCATTTGTACTCCACTCATGGATGTTTAATATGTATTTCTATATAAATATACTTATATATGTACAGTATATGTATTCTATCCGTTACCCTAGTATCCCATAACACAAGCCTTACAGTGCTTACTTTGGGGCTAGGCTAATTGGTGTGAGTGTTGGAAATATTATTATTATTAGATAAATACATACCTGTAGGAAAGCATCCGAAGCCAATCCACAGAGTAGCGCGCCGGTCAAAGCGCGCAGTACCGCCTTACCCATATCCCCGCACATTTTGATTAATGTTTTTCTATTGCTTGCACTTACTGTCTTCACCAATGGGCGATCACCGGGCTGCTCTAGCCAGAACTGAAAGTGTGGACGGCCTAACCAATACCCCCACTAACTTTGGTAGGGTGCTGGCGAAATTGCCGTAGGAAGGAGTACAGAGAACCGACTGACCTTTCCAAGTTTGCGCCTTTCGTTCGTACGTTTTTAAGACTGCAAACAGAAACGTCAGTCAATGTTCATAATGTTTGTCAAGTTTGACTTAAAAATGGTGCTGTCATTTGCTTTGCGGTAGCTAAGGAAGTGGACGACGCGTCACTGGCGACATGCATATAATTAATGACACCTCTAAACGCGGACGTTGAACTTTCGTATTCTAATTATATAAATATTAGCAAACCAGTGAACCAAATGTTCACCAAAACCTGATTTAAAAAATGTATTTCATTAATTGAGAACTTCGGAGATTTTGTGTGGTTTCGTTTGGAATTATTTAGTTAAAAAAAAAATTAACCTTTAATAGTTAATTAAAATTGTGATAATTACAAAATAGAAATCACGTGATTTCTCGAAAACCGGAAATGCTACGTTACTCAAATCCGGTTTGTAGTCTTATCAGACTATTCTTAACTTATAACTTAAATATTCTCTTTATCTATCTCTTACGGTTTGGCCGCTGAAACAGCACCACAGACAGAAGGACGGACGGACTTGTCTAATAGATAAGAGATTTATGTTTACAGGTTCTTAACTCGCATATCGCGTAACTTTTAAGGAGGAATGTAACCGTATCTTTTTTCTAACTTAAAGTAAGAGTTTTACACCTAGTAACTTGAGAGAAATGTCGAGATAAAATCAGGATTAATATCCCTAATTTTATATTTCTACTAGCTGACCCAGCGAACTTTCGTACCGCTATAAAAATAGGGGCAGGCGGTAGAAGAGAAAATTTAAGGTTGTATGTATTTTTAAATACCACATTATTAAAAAAACATACTGTCGAAAAAAATTTTTACGGGTGTGCAACGTAGTGTTCTATCAATTTTCTGGGATAACATTCCTCCTAACCCATATGAGAACACTACGTTACAATACCCAATATCTTGAATTTTGGCGCGAAGGAGCATTGTAGGTTTCAACACTACGTTACAGGTTACAGGTGGACAACCATTATCACTTAAGGATATGAAAAATAGATAGTAGCCGATTCTCAGACCCACGGAATATGCATATAAAATTTCTTAAAAATCGGTCCGTTTCGGAGGAGTATGGTAACTAACATTGTGACACGAGAATTTTATATATAAGACTAGCTGACCCAGCGAACTTCGTATCGCCATAAAAAAAAAATCAAAAAAAACATTGTCCAGCGGACAAAATTGTGAATCTAAACCATTCTCAGATCCCCTTGAACACACACAAAAAATTTCATCAAAATCGGTCCAGTCGTTTAAGAGAAGTTCAGTGACATACACACTCACAGAAGAATTATATATATAAAGATATACATACCTATACTGAATCGTTTAATTGGAATATGACCGATTTTTTTGTACCTGTATCGTACAAACCACAGAACACAGAAAGAGATTAAGAGGACCTTGTGGGCGTGGCAGGCGCGCCACAATTATGTGTGAGCAAATGCTCATAACTTGACCAAAACTTAGTTCTGATTGCATCGTTGCTCTCGGGTGTGAGCGCTGAATGGTTCGATTTTTTGATGTCGCGTCGTTTGATTGGCTATAATCTATTTGGTGGAAGTGTAGTGGGGGCGAGCCGGCGACATCGGTTCCCTTACAAACGGTCAATGATTATCGTTGTAACTTTTTTCTGTGTTCTGTGGTACTAACTTTAACGGCTACGTGTATTTTAGGCCATTGAAGTCATTTTATTATATAACGAAACATTACAGCCTATAAGGTTGCCAGTTGAAAGTTTTCATGTTATCTAAGAGAATCGTGAGTGCAGTCACGTTGTAATTTCTAAATGTAAGAATTAAAATTAATGACAGTAATCTACAGTCATTAATTTTTTGTATGTTTTAAGAGGGGGTAGTAAAACAGGTTTTGTAACCTAGTACAATCTCCAGCTCTCTCAAAGTACTGCATTGTTTAACCGTTATTGTAATTCAATACCCTTTTCTAATAATAATGTTAATTTGTGACTTTGTGAGAGAAATAAATAAATCATTATTATTATTACATTATTATTATTAACAATCTAACTTAATCAATCGAAGTATTTAGTGGTAAAATACGGGAAAACAAGGAGACTTACCTAGGTGGTGGAGTTGAAACATCTTTCAAAATTGATTTAAATTTAGCGCATAGTCCAGTCGTTCTGTCTTTTTTGTCACTGTCTCGAATTTTCTCAACATGACGAACAAACAAAATTGTCTCGAACATGACGGCAGGAAGAAACGTCAATTCGTTCACCAGAGCAAGTCCCCCGGTGTCCCCCAAAAGATATATTAAAATACAAACCTTTTAGGAGAGGAAGAATATAAGTATGCACCAAATTTCACTCTCGAGCTGCAGTGTCTGTCAGAGGAAATTACCCTGGCCTTACAGAAGACCTCAATTAGAAAACACTAAAAAGGTTAGAGCACGCTTAAAAGGTAAGCTACGAGGAGCTCGATGGCGCAGGTGGTTAGCACGTTCGGCTGCGATCGTTGAAGTTAAGCAACTTTCGCAGTGGTCGGTCATTGGATGGGTGACCAAAAATCTTCTATCTCGAGTTCCTCCGTGCTTCGGACATTAAGCCGTTGGTCCCGGCTGCATCTGCAGTCGTTAGCACCCGCCAATCCGCACTGAGCTCGCGTGGTGGGTCATGGCCCAATCTCCCTATTCCATCCATAGGGTAGGCCTGTGCCCCAGCAGTGGGGAACTGATGACGAAAAACGGTAAGATAGTGTTGTATTTCTATCGGTGAGTAAGATTTCAAAGGCTTCATGGAGGTAGAGGACAGGTTCGGAGCTTCTAGTGTATATTATTCAACCGAAACAAATTGACGTGGAAATACCAATTCCTTCTTTCTTAATTTTTTTATATATAACTTTTAAGAATATTTCTGTATATTATGATGAAATCTCTAATTTGAATTTGAACGATGAATGGTATAAAAAAATACTGTACAAATGGCTTCTAACTAAATAAACATAAGGCAACTTCTCCTATCGCGTGCAACGTGCTCTTATAAAAATATACGAAAATTACTAGAATATTTCAACGCCCCCCACGAAAATGGCTAACTAGAGCCTAGGTCCGAGTCCCAGAGACGCCCTCTAGTTGAGCCGACCCTCTCAGGTTCGAATGGTCTAGAGGCTCCAGACGGAGAGGATACGACCCCCGTGGGGAGGATGCCATCCATCCGCCTAGAATACCTCTAGAGGCACTCGCCAATTCTCGGCTTGAGGTCCCCTTAGGATCTCGCCGTCCCCAAACCCAGTGACGCTGTAAAGGTCATCTACGACCAGAAGCGTACACACTCAAAAAAAAACCAGAATATTTTAGGTAAGGAACCGTTTTTCGTCTATGTAAAATTTTTGTCTGTGTTAATTAGAAGAAATTAGAACTCCGCTGTCAAAATATTAAAATACTAGCAAACCAGTGAATCAAATGTTCACCAAAACCTGATTTAAAAAAAAATGTATTTAGTTAATTGAGAACTTCGGAGATTTTGTGTGGTTTCGTTTGAAATTCGTGATTCCTCGAAAACCGGAAGTGCTACGTTACTCAAATCCGGTTTGTAATCTTATCAGACTATTCTTAACTTATAACTTAAATATTCTCTTTATCTATCTCTTACAGTTTGGCCGCTGAAACAGCACCACAGACAGACAGACGGACGGACTTGTCTAATAGATAAGAGATATAACCTAACGTCAAGCAGTATTGCACTTTATTTATTTAACACAGTTTGGTAGTTTATTTCCTTGGTCAATGACATCACACTTTTTAATGTCTGATAGATATACAATAACTTTATTATAGACTATGTATTGAACTCGAATTATCCCTGATAAATAATAATTTCTGTTATGCTACCACGGCCCTGATGGCCGTGCCAAATTTTCTCTAGCCTTTCTTTAGCTGTAAGGCAGCGCCAGCTCTTCGCATTGTAGGTAGCCCACAATGTCAAATGAATACAATACAAGTATTAAACATTTGAAAGAAGATATAGCAATCATAGTTATACATAAGGGTGCGGTTTCGACCCCCGTCTGTTGCGTGTCCGCGTGAAAGTTTTTCTAGTAAAAAAATCTTAAGATTTAAATATCTAGCAGTTAAATGTTTAAAAAAATAAGAATATGCATAATAATTACTGTGTTACACCATCTCTGTATCATTAGCTAAACGAAAACAAAATTTATTTTTTACTAGGCAATAACATCTTGAAGAATGACAATCAAAATTTATTTGAAACATTTAACTACAAGTTAATTTACCTAAATGGTTCGTAAAATGGAATACTTCGTGTTAACTACATTCATACGATAGTTTGTCGTAAGTGTATATGAATAGGGTTCATTTGTGTGCGGCACTCATTAAGCGTTTAGCTCAACTACTCTTGCGCAACGTAAGACCGGTAATTGTCAGCTGTTTGCGAAATATCCCTTACTAGCCGTGCCCCGCGGTTTCACCCGCGTTTTTCTCGTTTCCGTGGAAATACCGTGATAAAATATATAGGTGCCAACTCTGAACATCTTACACACGTGATAACTTTTAAACGAAATATCCGATTGAGATGAAACAAAAAGTGTTTTACTTCTACATAAATACTCTTGATAACATAATGCTTAATTTCGATAAAGATTAATATTACGATACATATTTAACGTAGTTTTTTTTCTTCAGACGATTCAATAATTATTTTGAACACAAAATCGGTTATTGTGATTAAACCATGATAGCTAGATATAATTATGTTCTCGCGGACTTTTTTGTAGGTCTTAATGGGATCTACAAACCCGTAGTACATCATTTTGTTCTATTGTCAATAGTTTTTGCAGCGCACGCAA